TTATCTGGGTCTGTGGAATAACAGTCCAGCGATAATACCATTAGGCCATTGCCTCCCAACTCTCACCCTGTTTCTTCTGCTCTTGCACCCTTTAGAAATTGCCATTTAGATTATATTGATGTTTATTCCAAAGAACTTCCTTAAAACATTTCTTCTGCATTATATTGCAACAAACAAATGTCTGGCTAGTTCACCAGTCTACCTCTGCTCTATTTACTATATTGCTATATTTGTATTGATTTCCAACTTCAAAATTTTATGTTGACCATAAAACAATCATTGATAGTCATAAACATCTGGTTTGCTTGATACCCTTTTTAGGTAGGGGAAACCTGCTATCCATATATTTGGTCTGGCCTATATGTGACTTTGACTCTTAACTACCCTCTCTAAAATGGCATAGTAAGCCACTCAGTTCAAGGGAAGTTGGGGATTGGCAACAATGCTAGTCACGCCAATGATACTCTTTTTGGTGGTCTTGACTTTGAGTTAGAAGGTTGAGTTCAATTCCCACTCTAGAGATTTCAACACGCAGCCTAGCTGGCAGCAGTGTGGTGATGTATTTTCTTTTAGATAATTACTGTAAACTGATGTTCTATGTTTTTCTCAGTGGATGTAAAAGATGCTATGGCTTATCTCCTGAAGAACATGTTCTAGCTGGCTTCCTGGTCAATATTCATTCCTGAACCAACATCTCTCTTTTTTGAGGGCTGGTGATTTATATTGACTGTCATGTTTCCTATTGTTAGAAGTGATGCTTCAAACAAAATAATATTTCACTAGCTGTGAGGCATTTGAGACAAGGGTCCAGATACAGGAGGTTCCTCCTTTGGATACCTCTTTAAATCCTTGAGCCATGAGACAGTCTGTCATTGCTGTATCAGCAATGACAGACTATGTCTGTACAGATGAAGGAAGAGATTTGTAACTTTCCTGCTCTGGTTGTTTACACTCTGACAACTTAAACCCTTGAGGGTTATTTTTAATTTTACACTTAAAGAAACATTTTTTGCTATGCAGAAATGGGGCAGGATTTGCTTATTGTGCATAAAAGATTGCAATACACTTCTAACATACAACTGCTGAGGTGAGTTGTTATTCTTTGGTTTTAGGTGAAAATACAAAGAATCTTCTCTTTCTACCTGTCATCTTTGCAGTATTTACTGGATGTGGACTGAAACAGAAGGATATAGTACGTCAATTAAATAGAAAGGTATCATAAGTCAATAGAACAGAACCATTGATAACGGATAAATGGGCAGGCATTCAGAAATGGAATGCCTTATCTGTGGTGTCAGAGTTTTTTGGGTAATATCTGAGTTTTGCAATCTGTGCTTTTTAGTTGAACATGTTAAATTGATGCCAGTTTTTAATGTCTTTGCACTGACAGAATAGACTTCAAGTGTTGTTTTGATTTGGGCCAAGTAAAACTGGAGACAGAAGAGATATAATGGATGAGCTGGCATTCCATAGACAGCCTAACAAACATGTATCCAAATTCAATATTGGAGATCCATTCAACTATGTTCTAAACTCAAATATTTTTGCCATCACATTGCTTCTAGCATGTGTAAGTGTGAATTGTGCAGTGCATGGCTGCAATGCCCAAAAGTATCTGACAGTTAATAGACTGTAACAACAGATTGGTTTTGTGTTGCAAATGCTGGTTGACGGTGATGGATGTGCAGGATGATTTTCAGCTGATCTTGTTTTCTTTTGAAAACCTTAACCTCCTCTGCCTCTCTCGCTTAAAGTATATGGGGAAAATTTGATCTTTATTTGGGTGTAAAGTACTTTCTAAACATCCGTTCCTATTAAATTTATGGACAGCACAAATTATCTGGTGTAAAGTGTGCATTTTGGTAATTCCACAAGCCACACTCTGATTTATATTGAACCCAGATTAGACCATAAAAGGCAAGAGCAGAAGTAGGCTATTTGGCCCATCAAATCTCCATGCAACAGCTGATCTGATAATCCTCAACTCCATTTTCCTACCATATCCCCACACCCCTTGATTTCCTTATTGATTAAAAGTCTGTCTTGGCCTTGAAAGCAATGAACAACATAACCTCTACAGCCCTGTGTGGTAAGAAATTTCCCACATTTCCTAGCCTCTGAGAAAGAAAATGATGTGGAATTTGTCTTCAATCGGTGACCCCTTATTCTGAGATTACGCCCTCTGTTCGTACACTCACCCACAAGGTGAGGTGATTTCTGTATCTATTGTGAGAAACCCTAAAAATCTTGCATATTTCAGTAAAGTCTCATTTCATTCTTCACTCCAATGAATACGGGCTGAAGCCACTTGGCCTTGCCTCAAAATCCCTTCATGCCTAGGCTCAACCTAGTGAACCTTCTCTGTACTGCTTCCAATGCCAGTGTATCTCCCCTCAGACTAGGGCACTGCAGCTGGTATGATTTTAAGCATCAGGACTGGTAATAAGAAAAAAAGTCTTTCCCCTGAGAAATCTTGCCTGTGTCCTTAATATCTTCCTGTCTCCCTGAAGGAGTTCAATATTCCCATGTAGAATAAAATTACTCCAAAGTGTGTGCTCCTTCCTACCTGATTTTCCAAATTTACAAGCTGCTTTCATACACACAACTGACAAACAATTTGTCGCTTTAGTTTTTATTGGACACATTAAACAGATCTATTCTTGTGTCTCAATCACTCAATTGTCATTCTTTTCAATTCTGCTTATTTTTGGATGTTGAATGTGGGTAAGCGGAGCTTCCATTGTTTCTGTGTTTAGGTTTTCCATGCACTTGGTTTACATTCAAAAGGGAAAAACTTTTTCCGCCTAATCTTAAAATCAGTTTCATGTAATTGCTTATAAGCAATTACAATCACTACAGGTAATGTGTGAGAAGCATCTGAGAATTCTGAAGACCAATTGTGACTTATTTTGTTACGAATGTTACATACTACCTTCCCCATTCCCCCAGAAAACATTGTTCCTTTTCAGATGACCTATGATGAACTATCACGGGATTCTTTTAACTGTTCTTGTCTGATGCTTGGCAGCAATTACTGGATAATGAAGAGCAAGAATAGCATTTATAACCCCATCCCCAGAGGCCCTGAAACCAACAGCAGCATTCCCATTGCTACCCCCATTTGAAATCTATTTAATATACATTTCAATCATCATGTTTGCAAGTCATACTTTAAAGTTCTGTGAAATAATTAGCTAAGTTCTCTTGGAATGATCTTGGTCCTTCCAACTTAGTGTAGCAAATTTGTCACTGTAAAATTATTTAGCTTAGTTGTGATAAACTAATCGTTAAAACTTACTACGAATGGTTATATAGCCATGAGAACTTCTGTCATTTTGAAAAATTTATGTCTGGAGTAAAACCTAATTTTCTTGACCACCAACTTTTGATGATTTTTTGTGTTTCTAAATTCTGTGCAAATTAAAGTTTGGTTACTGACGTTTACCCTGTCTCCTTCCAACAATCTAAATGTAACTTTTTAGTGCTCAGTTCCCTATCTATAATTAACTTGTAATGGGACAATGGCTGAGAAGAAAATGATATTTTGTGATGCAATCTCTGTATATTCCAAGTTCCCACTCTATCCTCAATGTAGTATGGTGATCCATAGCTGCAAATAAAATTTTCCTTGTTATTGGCATTCACTTTCTCGGTGCACTATGTCCTAATGAAGTTGTTTGTTTTCATCTAATCCATTTAACTAACTGAACTGTTCATTTGGCTTTATGACAAGTTTTTTTTTCTTGGTACTGTTTTTTTGTAATTTAAAGGGTTTTCCAAACTCTTGATAGGACTTGGTGTAGACTTTCTGACTAGCCCAATAGACCCTTGGGGATGTGAACTGAAGATTTCTCTTGGGTTGAGGCCAGGCATATTGTAGTGTGAAGACTGCAATATCTCAAGAATTCTGTGTGCTTTTCTTCTGACTTCCAATATTTCTATATAAAAGCAGAAACGTATTCCCTTCTGGTACTTTTTTTTTCTCTCTGGCTGTTGGAACAGGAGTTTAGAGTTTGTGTTTGCAAGAGAATGTAAGGGTTCCATGCAGTGTGTCAATGTTTACATGAGATCCTTGGCACAACCTTTTTCCTCCATTGTTTACAAATACTTTGTATGCATTTCTTTAATTGCTTAAAATGTTAGTTATGTCACTGTGGCAAATGATAAACTTGCTTTATCTTTCCCTTTGATAGAATGTCTTAATGTAATTTGTTTCCTGATGGATCTTAATTACTTTTATATAAAGAATTTTGGAGTAAATTGCCTAGCTTTGCCAGATTATTTTGCAAAATATTGCCAGATCATTAAATAGAATGTGATGACTAATTTCTTGCACTAAAGTAGGTCGGTTATCATATTAAATGATCCTAGCGCAAATTTAATGTATCCCTCCAATTATACTCTTTTTGGTTTAAATATAACCCGTTCTCATGCAGGTATATAAATTCTCTCAACACGTGCCTAATGACAACTATTTTTAATGTAGTTATTTTTGTGTTTACACAAGGCGTTAGCACTTCTTGAAACCTTTCATAGTGGATTTATCTGGAGTGTGAATGCTAGGCTAAATTTGAGTCATTGAAATTGAGAACTCCTGAAAATAAAAGGTGGGGAGGGAGGATTAAATGCGGCTATTAATTTGCTGTTTCTTATTTAAAACAATGAAGAATAATTAACCTTGGCTGGAGGAGATTTGGGCTGCTCTCGTGCAGCGCTCTTAGTGGCAACAGCTGGGAGGTGCGAGCGCTTGGGGGTCTTGCTCTATCGCGCTCCTAGTGGCCGCAGCTGGGAGATGCGAGCGCTGTGGGGCCGTGCTCTACGGCGCCTCGAGTGGCCGCAGGTTCGGAACTCGACCGCCGATCGCATCACGTGACGGTGCCTCCGCCATTAAGTCTGGGACTGAGTCTCCCATTAAAGGACAGGGACTGAAACAAACCTGAGTCGCCGAAAGAGAGCCGAGTAACTGGGGGGGAGGGAGGGAGGGAAGGAAAGGAAGCGAAGACAGATGCTTTCACCTCGTTCCCCTCTGAGAGGGAGAGAAAAGAAAAATCAAAAGACATTTTGCACATTTAAAAAAACAGCTTTCATGTGGGGAAAATATTTGAGGAAATTTTCCTGAGAGGAGGACTTTTTTCCCTGTGTATTTTTTTCCTTCTTTTCGAAGTGCGTGTTAAATCTTCGACGATGCAGGGATCGTGATGATGAGTTCGTCTGGCTGCTGGGTGGCGAACGGGGCGAGTTTGGAGGATTGCTATTCCAATCTCTTCTCTCTGGTGAGTGATTGAAGCCGCCGTCGCGCAGCCATTTTCAAACCGCGGCCTTTTCACTCAGGCATAGGGGGGAGAGAGATAGTGAGGAGGGGGTCTTAAAAAACCTAACAGTCTCACATTTTAACATATTTCTAAACCTGGATAGATCCACACTACTCCAATTACTCGCTTTTAAAAGTGTTGTTTTTAAATGTCTTTTGAAAGAAAAATCACTTTTTTCAAAAAAAAACCTTCAATGTTTGATCAAACGTACAACTTGCCCACTTTATAAATGTCTTTAGGTGAAAATCTGTTTTGTCAAGAAACCTACGTAGGCCAAGCGTATAAACTCATAACTTGTCATCAATAAAACGCTACTTTGCCTCTTTCCTTCATGGCACGCAAGCCTTTATATAGAAGATAGCCTTTTATGAACGTAGACTTTGTTTTTATTATTTTGTAACTCTGGCCATTTTTCAGTCAAAATCGACACGATATAATTAACAAACGAAAGAAACTGGCGGAGGAGTGATAAGACTTTTTTTCAAAGTATCAAACGACGCTAAGTTTCAAGACTGTCATTTTGTCTGTGACTTTTTAAAGTTTTCTTAATGTAATGATGATGAGGGGTTCCATGTAGACTATAGTCTATCTTTGCTTTCCCCAACCCCCACTATCGGTGGCGAAGAGCAAAAGGGAAGTGTTTTCAAACTTCAGAGCAAGAGCAAAAAAAAAGTTTCAAAATGAGAACTTCAGGGCCTCGAGTGTTTTAACCTAATGTTTTCATGGGTGTGTGACTTTTTTTGTTGTTGCGTGGAATGGAAAATCTTTCTTGATTCACAAAGTGAAGGGAAGTTGTCAAAGATCCCTTTACTTAGATTGAATTTCAAATGCATTGGGTGGAGAATGTGTATATCGGGCACCTTTTTTCTACAGGGCAGCAAAAGTGAAGTGATACGAGAAATTAGACACTTGAGGGTTGGGGGTGGCGTGGAAGTGTTTAAGCATAGCAAAACAAGCTTGCTTTGAAGCTATCAGGGGAAAAAAATTGGCCAGTACGTTCCTCCAAGCTGACAAAACTTTCTCTTTTATTGTGTTTGATTTTATTAACATTGGATATGTGGAAAAGGGTGGTGAAATGGAAAGATTCAGAGCCAGTGTTTCCTTTTTGGCCATATGGGAGTCTTTAAATGGTTTAGAACATCTTTTTAAAGTTTTTTTTAAACCTCTAATTCTTAATATGGCTGCCCAGCTGTCTTCTCAAAGTGATTACAGTTCACTGTTGTTCAGCATTTCTTAAAGTGGAAAATATGGATGAGTTATTTTAAATTAAAACATTGACTGCAGAAAGCAAAATGGATTTGTTCCTTGAAATCAAAAATAAGGTCAAGTGCTGTGGTGGAAGTAACCATTATGGTTTTAACAATAAAAGGAGAATAGGGCATTTAAAATGGCCCCAGTTTTATTTTTTTGCTTCTTGCCCTCCCCCCCCCCCCCCCCCCCCCCCCCCCCCCCCCCCCCACAACC